ATCTGCCAAATATAAACCAATTATCTGCCAAATATAAGTCGTTTATCAGCCAGGACCTTGTTGATAAGAAAATACAAATAAATAATTATTAGTGGGGCTGTATGAATATATATGAGCCACTATGTATAATTTTGAGCCTGTCTGGATYGAAGAAAATCTACAATAAATGATAATTTTTGTATAAATATGTTGTGTAAATGAATAAAAACGATTCTGAGTTTCATATTTTCTCTGCTCAGGTTCATTCAGCTGATTGTAAACAAACACAAAGAATTTCATCCTTTAACTCAGTTATTTAACAAAGATATTTAATTAATTCTGTTATTTATTTAACTCTGGTATTTAACTCTTTACTTAACACAGTTATTTAAATAACTTGGTTATTTAACTTTGTTAATTATCTGTTATTTATTGAACTCGGTTATTAACTCTTCATCCCATCTGAAAATAAAAACTCTTCCAGTCTGTGGTTTAGGGCTCAGTGGTGCTAAATGTTAATAAAACTTGTTTAAATGAAGAACCCACCTCCGGACCCCCTCTGTGACCTTTGACCTTTGTGTTTTCCTCCTGCTGGACTCCACCTGACCCAGATTTTGTCTATTAGTGGTTCTCTGAGACTCATGGATTATAAAAACTCTCCTGGTCTGGATTATCCCCGACAGATTACAGAACTTTCTCAGCGAGTTCAGAGCACCGGAGTCCAGAGCAAGGACAGAACCAGAACCAGAACCAGAACCAGAGCACAGGTGAGTTCAAACACCCAGTGACAAAATTCTTTATTTTATTATTTTTTCTTTTTCTCTTCAGCCTGAAGAACTGAAGCAGATAATTTTATTTTTATTTATTTTTTATATTTTTATTTTTGCTGCAACATTCTGAGGAAATTAACCATCTATTCTGGCTCCGTTTGAAGTTTTGGGTTTTTGCTAACTGGTTCTGGGACGTTTCTGAGAATGAAGACAGAGAATCTGAAACCGATTTAGTGAAATCATTTTAATTTGAGTTTGTTTACAGGGAAAATGTTGCTGGAACATGTAAAATAAAACAGAGTTGTGCTGTTTGTTTGCAGAGACAATGTTACAGAAAGAGCTGAAGATAAATTCTCATTCTTGTCAGGATTTATTCTGATAAAGTTACAGTTCGTGAAAATCTAATTTTATTTAATGATTTTCATTAAACTTTCATCTAATAAAACTAAAATTTATAGAAAATTACAAATTTATGTTGTGATAGCTGATGGTCATCTTGAAGATRGTACTTTTAGCTGTTTTCCTGTTACTTTTAGCTACTGTTCTGTTTGTTTTAGCTAGACTCATGCTACATCTAGCAACTGTTCTGTTGCTTATAGCCCTAAGTATACTTTTAGCTTGCATTTAGCTATTTTCAGCCTTTAGCAATCATTTTATTACCTTTAACTAACCTTTTGATATTTGTAGCTGGACTTGTGCTAGTTTTAGCTACTGTTCATTTACTTTAAACTAGCCCTTCTTTTAGTCTGACTGTAACTTTTAGCTGGCCTTTGGTTTCCTTTTTCTTGACTTTTGCCATTTTTAGCTTTTAGTTATAATTTCTGTTACTTTCAGCTACATTCAGCTGGACTTGTGGTACATTTAGCTTCTGTTCTGTTACTTTCACATAGCCCTCTGTCTACTTTTAGTTTGGCTTTTGCCRTTTTAGCTTTTGGCTATCATTTTGTTACTTTTAGCTAATCTTTAGTTATTTTGGCTAATTTAGTTACTTTGGCTAATCTTTAGCTACCTTTAGGTACTTTTAGCTACAGTTCTGTTACTTTTAGCTAACCTTTAGTTATTTTTAACTACTGTTCTATTACTTTTAGCTAATATTAAATTATTTTTTGGCTAAAATTTAGTTTTTTTTAGCTACTATTCTGTTACTTTTAGCTAAGCTTTAATTATTTTTGGCTAAACTTTAGTTATTTTAGCTACTATTCTGTTACTTTTAGATAAGCTTTAATTATTTTTAGCCAACATTTACTTACTTTTAGCTCCTGTCTGGATGATTAAACTGACCCCTTGTGTTGACGTTTTGTTCTGACTGTACAAAGAAAACACCACAGAAGAAGAAATGAAGCTCTTTTCTTTGCAGAATGAGGTCCAGATGTCTCCTCTCCGCCGTGGACAGACTCCCMACCATCGATGAGATCCAGGAGGGGGTCTCAGAGGACCGACACCTGGACCACACCTGGGGGGAGTACTTGGACTCCATCAGGGAACTCTCCCAGCCCTCCTGCTACCCGMTTCACGGGCCCCTCAGGGGTCACCGCCACTGGACCAGAAGCCCCTCCCCCCGGCAGTCCGTCAACCCATCAGACATCTCGTTCACGCTAACAGAGCGGTCCAGCTGGGACCCCCCAGGGCCCTTTAAACACAGCCTGCTGGACTTGCTGGTGTCCTYGACCCTGTTTGCAGGTCTGACATGAACTGAGGGTTCTGAGGAACAGAAACTGTCCRGCGTGCCCCCCCAGAGCGGCCCCCAAACAAACCTCCAAACCTTCCACTGACCAAAAGAAAAACCTGAAACCTTCTTGWTTTGTGTTTGTTTTAAACGTGTTCAACAGGTTTTATTGTCTGTTCCTTTTTTAACGACAGCGTTAAATATTTSTTTCTCCCGGATGTTTCTGAGCAGCTGGAAAGAATAAATGTCTCAGCGGTCGGTGAGAATGTCACACAAACACTTTGAAAGTTGAGAACKTTGAATTCACATACGCAGCAGATTTTTCGGGCGGTTGAATGAAAAGTTTGGACATATTTGGAGAGATTAACAGAAAAAATAAGCTTTCCTGGTTGGTAAAAGTCAAACCSTTWCCAAAAAATAAAAATAAAAAAGCCTTTTTGTTTAYGGTGATCCTCAGAGTGAGTCTCTGTGAGATTAATATTATCAATAAATATARTTAGAGAATAAACAGGAAGTTGAAGCCACTAATGATGATCGCCCCCTAGTGGCACGCTGTTGATATTTGTTTGTTTAGTTCTGCTGTTTGTTCAAATCTGAATATTTTTTATCTTTAATTTGAGGCATGTTGTGCGACATTGTGATTGACAGCTCGTAGGTCAGGACTGTGTGGGGGCGGAGCTTTTATGTCTATGTTTCAGCCCTACAGACCCCTGATCGAAAACAGGGTGGCTCCAACAACAAAAACAAACATTTTAGTTTTCTTTTTAACGCTTAGGGCCTCTTGGTTTTTGCAAGACATTGAACAGAGCCCCACTCCACATTCAAAATGCTTCAAAACTTTTAAATCTTCAGTGAAGTTTTACTTTGTAATTAAACTTGTTTTAAAGGGGATTTATTTCAAAGTTAAATCCACCTTTAAAGTGCCTGTATGCATATTCTCCAAATACAAAAAGTCAAAGAAAACATCTTTATATTTAAGAAACCTGACATAAAACACACAGTTTTGCCCATTKTGTCACATAACTGGCWTATTTTCTTTTGAACTTGGCTGAGCAAAAGTGAAACAGGAAGTGACATCAAAGGGGAAATATTTAAGAAAAGGAACTCTCTGGTCTTTGTTTATTGAAACTCTTAACTCCTCTTCATCTGTCCCTGATAGAGAATCAAAATAATTTAAAGAAATATCAAATTCTTCTCTACAGTCTGTGTTGTTAGCCATTTTAATAACACTCTGTTTACATGCAGACATTCCCCTTTGACATCACTTCCTGTTCTTTTACATGCAAATATCTCAACAGCAGTTCACCCCAGCAGCGTGAAAATTGTAAAGTTGTCTTTCCAAAAAATGCATTCATATTTATTACAAAAAWTTRATGTTACAAACACTTTAAATACATGTTGGGTAYTTGGAGTCTCTAGGAGGCAGAAAATTTGAATTTAGTCTCTTCCAGTGCTGCAAAGATATCTTTAGATTCTGTTTGGGTCAGATTTTTCAACCTGACAGRCTTTGGTTCAGGGTCAGAATTCTTTTGTAGATAAATTTTTAATCGTCTCTCTGCAATCAAACTACAAACATTGCCGAACAGTGTAGAAGGGGGCAGGGTCTATAGTGCCTCATTTGCATTAGCAGAGAAGAAGGGCTGAAAGAGGGGCTTGTGGAGCTACAATAAGCAGAATTTCAGTGTTACAGCCCCCAAATGAAGGCTTTAAACACGAAAAAGGAAAGATTAAAAAGCATCACATGTCTTCTTTRAAGCATGAATCAGGAAYGTGCACAAATGCAGAGTAACTATAAAAACTTTCACTGACGTATAAAAACATTAAAAAACAGCTGAAATGAGTCTGGAGCTTCACGCTCAAACTGTTAGTTTCTGTTTCCCTGAAGTCCTGTGACTCTGAGAGAAAACGGATCTCCGGTCGGGTTCTGGCAAGAACCTCCTGAAGCACGTCCAAGAAACATGTGGTGAAAGTGTCTCTGGGGATGTTTCCGCAGAACCCCGCCCCCCCTCCACAACACAGAGCTGAGGCATGTGCTCAGCTGTAATACACGAGATGATTCTAAAGAACAGCTCGACTGATTCATGCTGCAAACTCTTCCTGCCACAGAAAAGTGCCGTCTCAGCAGAGTGAAAGTCGACGACACAAGATTCCTTCTACAGTGAGTCTGCAGTGACGGTGAGGCTCAGGCATCATCTATCCTCCCAAACCTCATTAAATTAGAGGAAGGCTCTCCGCGGWGCGCCCGAGGAGAGAAATAAAACACGTTGACTGTAATCAGCTCAGACTGCGAGCCTCCGCAGACGCCTTTGTGCTGCTTTACATTTCACAGGGAGCCAAAGAAAGCAGCGGCAGGTAATGAGAGCCGAGCAGAGGCGACATCATCCCGGCTGAAAGCTAATGGGCTCCAGGAAGTAGAAACACGTTTTATTTTGTGTCGCCTGGTTTTACAGACTTTCTGCTCTCTCATCGTCCTCAAACGCTCCTGGAGCTCGTGTGTTGCACAATCACAATCTTCTTTGCACAATCGGAAGATCTCAAACATGTGGCGGAGGCGGCGGAGTGGGTTTCATCTGTACCTGAGAGGGAGGGCCACGAGGGGCCTGTAAAACTAAAATAAATCTTTATGTGCATTCTTTTAGTTTTTACAACACAGACTCAGATCTGCAGAGTCACGAAGCAACAATTCCATCAGAAACATGACGAACTTCTCTGTCCTGATGAAAAACATTGAGCAACTCAGTTTGTTTACTCATCAGAGAGAGCTTTAACCTTCAGACAGCTCGAAATGTTGATCATCCTGTAACTAAACAGCCATCCACATCTGCTCTACCTGGAGTTTCCTGCACAGGAACAATGGGCCTCATGCAAGAACATGTTCATATTCTTCTCCTAAATTTCTCTTACTTTTGTTCGTACAAAGGGTTCGTACG